TTTTTTTTTTCAAACTTTTATTTTTTTTTTCCCCTTTTTTTTTTTTTTTTTTTTTTTTAATGTTTGGAACTAGTCCATAAAGAACTCTATGAAATTAGAATGGAAGATTGAGTTCAGATTTATGTTTATAGGGAGAGAACATGCAAGCTTCCAATGCCAAGAAGCCATGCACAACTGCAAATAAAGCAGCAAAACCAAAGTCAAACCCTTCCAAGGATCCTCAAAGCGTTGCTGCCAAGGTTTGCTTCAAACCTAAGTTAAATTATGTCTGATATGTACCAAGTATGTTTTGATTGCAAATTAAGAAAACTTAGTTAATTATGAGATTCAATACTGATAGAATGTTTGTATGTGTATCACAGAATAGAAGAGAGAAAATCAGTGAGCGGCTTAAGATACTTCAAGAACTTGTACCCAACGGTTCCAAGGTATATGTTAAACTAGTCCTGAATTGCTTTCTTTTGCACTTTGTAGCAACAACTGGAAAATTGATCATATGTTGCAGAGTTGAAGCTTTAAGTCAAACAAACTCTATGAAATTTTACTTAATAGGATTGTGGTTTAATTATTTCATTGATAAATTTTGCAGGTTGATTTGGTCACCATGTTGGAGAAAGCAATTAGTTATGTAAAGTTTCTTCAGTTGCAAGTGAAGGTGGGTCTTGCATACAGTGTGCACTACTTTTCTTCAGTTTCTTCAAACTAAGTTCGTGGCTTAATTTGAATCCGAACCTCACCTATGACATCTTTGTTCTCTACTTGTTCATTGTGAAGGTGTTGGCAGCTGATGAATTTTGGCCTGTCCAAGGTGGAAAAGCCCCTGACATTTCTCAAGTGAGACAAGCCATTGATGCCATTCTTTCATCTCAAAGATGAATAGAAGATCATGGATCCAAGAAATAAGTGTTATCATAATTCAAACACAACTTTGAAGAACAAGAGAAAAGTTAGTTCTGGAAGTTGGTCGTTCTGAAGGGCATTTTAGTATTTCAGAATGCTTAACCTTTTCTAATTTGTTAACTTCGAAATCAAGATCTAGCAAAAAATTTGAGTTTTAGCTAGTGTTTATTTGTGTTTATGCTGGGCCTAAAAACCATGTCCCAGGATTTCATTCACAAAATGTCTACGTTGTACTAGTGGTGCTGGAAGTGTTTCTAATAAATTAGACTACTATATATGTTCAGTTTATTATTAACATGGAAAAAAGGGAAAACAACAAAAGATGTAAATCATTCAGTGTTCTTTGACTTTTCTATCAATTGAACATCAGAATGAGCTGTTACCAATTAATTTGGTTATGGTAGATGAAACATCTTCTAGGTGAACATGAATAAGTTGGCAATGGGCAAATAAAATATATATAAATAAAAAAATCGAGTTAGTGAGAATAAAAAAGTTTATCATTGTTATGATTTATTTATAGTTAGCTAAATGACTAAGGCATCAGCATATCATAACTGACTTTTTGTCCTAATAAATTGCATGAAATCGGGAGTTTCATGACACAGACAAATGAAATTAATCACATGCAGGCATTTGATTTTAAACTTTGAAGGTGTGTTTTAAGTTTCAAGCTGTAAAATGCATGGTTATGTGTCACTGTTTGACCTGATTTTAAAATGGAAATACATTCAAATATAAGAAATTAAACCGGTTAACTAATTTACAAAACGAGGCACATATGTGTCAATAAACCGAAATTTTTTCAAAATGTCGGATAATGCAAAGATTCATCACTTGTTTTGAGCTACAATTTAACATTTTATTCGGAAAAGAATGAAATTGACAAGAATCCAAATATATCCCACTTAGGTTTTGTTTCTAAAAACTAGTTGATAAGTTAGGTAAAAAATAAAAAAATAAATTTTGGAAGAACGTTATTAATTAAAATTGTTGGTTAAAATTTGAAAGCTGTTAGTTTAAAGGTGAAAAGTATTAATTTAACATTCAAATATTATTATTTGAAAAAAGTAACTATTTAATTAATAGAGGGATGTAAAATTAGAATGCAGAAATTCTAATTCTCTCATTCCCTCCAAATTTTTAAACCGAAGGTGAAAAAATGATTCACTTTCCTGAAACTAAAATATATAAGCTGTAAGTTTAATAAACCCTATTTTTTTGGGTAGAGAAACCCTATTTAAAATACTGCCTTTAAAAAGTAAGTTAATGAGATAAGTTAGTTTACTTAACATCTCTATTTTAGTTAAATAAGTAAATAAATTACTTGAAAAAGTAATTGATTAAGTACGCCTATATAGCTCCAACATTGAGTAAATCGATCGGCGAAATTAAATTTTACTGTTTATGCTTTATTGACTTGAATTTATAGGTTGCGACCCGCTTATTAGTACTTGAAGTTACTTTGTAGTTTTTAGTATGTTCTCATGAATATATGTATGCAATGTGAGGTCATACTCTATCTATATTAGGTATAGTTCAAACTTAACCCTCTTATGCAGTGGAAAATTATTATATCGTACGTGGTTAGGTCATATTAATATATGTCATTAACAAGTTGGTATGAATCAGACGCTAACTTATGTTGAGAGTTTTTGAAAGGAAAACAAATATTGGAACCAAAGAATATAGATTACACTGAGGCCATATACTCAAACCACGTGCCTCTAGTTTGACACATGCTATGACATCCTCTGATCTTCATCATCCTTGTTGTTGCCTTGCATGGATGAGTTTATTTCCCCCAAGAAAGTCTTATAGTATATTATCAAAAGAATTTTACAAATTTTATGACCTCGGTTATAGCACTTTGTCTTTCTCCTTAATTGTAACGGACGACATCATTCTTAAGAAAAATGAGATGATTATATTCAATGTTCATTATGACATGCATCTCCATAGTTTTGACTATAAACATATAGAACTAGAACTCTCATGACTTGGTAAAGTATTTGGGCTTCATCTTAAAGTCTAACATGTTCTATAATAACATAATATTGTTATATCTTATTTTTTATCTTAAATTCTTTCATTAGGGGTGTAAGTGGGTTGGGTTGGGCCGAGTCAGATTTGTGTAATTTTTTTTATTTAAACTCGGTCCAACCCAACCCGTTCAGATTTGTGTAATTTTTTTTTTTAAAAACCTAATCTAATCCAACCCAATCATGAACGAATTAAGTTGATCAGTTGAGTTAATCAGATTAATATAATTATATTTATTTATTTTTTGTAAAAATTTAAATATTTCAAAATAGATATAAATCATTTGATACATTGTTGCAAACTCAATGTTATCAACCTATAAAACAAACAATGATATAAATTAAATTCTAAAATAAATTTATTAATTTGTTACATTTATCAACTCAAAGACCAACATTAATTAATACAAAATAAAATTTAAAATAAATATATTATATTATTACAATACTATTAACCTAAAACATAATTTGTTACTAAGTAAGAGTGACAATGAGTATTATCTTGACCAAATTCATTCAGACACTAATAATAATAATAATAATAATGTATGACAGGTTGGGTCAGGTTGATAATGGGTTGGAAACATAAAACTCATTACCGGATCTGTACAGTATTGAATTTTGATCAAGTTGAATTGGATTTGACCTAAACACTAAAAAAGTCTTATCTGAACTCATTGGATTGATTTGGATTAGTTCGGGTTCGCAAATTACTTATACCTGCTTACACCCTTATTCATTTATGTTCTTGTAAAGTCAAGAAAATCAACAAAAGTCCTAAACTCAAATTTAAAATCCTCCATGATATTTGACTTTTTATTTACACATTTTTTGTCGATGGACCAAAACAAATGTTTTTTGATCTTCATATATTTAAGTTGATTATAAATATTTCTAGTTTGAAAAATGTGTTAAAAAATAACTTAATAGTTATTTAAAATCAAAAAATTCAAAAGTGTGTTTTGTTTATTATTATCCTAAAACAATAATTTTATGCTTAATTGTTGTCATCGTTAAATAATGGTTTAAGATCTTATCTAGACAAAAGTATATATCTCAGAAAAGTATGTATGCGAAACTTTCATAATCTAACAAAACACGTCTCACATTAAAACCATTACAAAATATGATATATAGGACAGCGTAGTATCCATATATACTTGAGATAAGGTACATGCATCTCTAGGACTAGTTCCATGAATTGGTTTTAGCCTTAAACACGTTTGATTCCATGATTTTTTTTTTCCACCATCCAATTGGTAACGAATATGTTATACTTGTCTTGATGAGCTATGCATGCACATGAGTCTCCGTACGGTTGTTTATGCTTTACTTTGTCAAAGAAAACAACTATTAAGATTCATATCTTGTAGAGATTCAATCGGTCTAAGAGGCATTTCAATAATTTTAATTATTTATCCTATCTGCTTCTGTTATTTTGTTGGGAATGAAGTGGGGGACCATTAATTAAGCACGTGTAACTTTTAATAAAGATCACATGGCCAAGGCTAATCGTCACATGCCCAAGCCCTCCAATGAATACTTTCAACCAATTATATACTACCAGTTAAATTAAAATAGTAATTAAGTCTATTAAATTCAAAATCAACGAATAATTTTAATTAGTTTATTTACCATTCCTCTCATCATAATTGATTCCCTTACTTGGACATAATCGTTTTCCCATATCCACTTGGACATGGACATCCTTATAGAGCAATTTGCATTTTCAATGATTGCCTTAATTTTTTTTTGGGTATAATATTTGTTGATATTTTGTCACAAAAAAAAAAAATGTAGAGTATTAAATTAGTCGAGGGAAAAAAGATTGATACTTTGTACTATAGATGATTATAAATAACTTGAAGTTATATGAGACTATGTTCAACTGCAGCTATGAGCTATCCCTTTTATTTTCTAATAATTCTGGATCTTTGAAGTTTGAATTCTTAATATATATGTATGCTACCTGCATATAATTGTGTTCCTTCAATGAAAACTAATTAAAATATATTCACGATCACGATTTAATTATTTTGTTGAAAGAAAATTAACAAAACCGAGTTGCCCAAAATAGCATTTTGAAACAAATTTTTAACATTTTCAATTGGGTGTTCTGAATTAGAAAAAGTAAATAAATGTAAGGATAGTTTTAATTATTATTTTTTTAATAAAGATGACGTGTATAAAATAAAGTAACAGGTACAGAAAGCAAATGGCTAAAATATGTTAGTTGATTCAAATTAGACTTTTTTTTGTGGCGGAGTGGCCCAAGTCTAACCAAACCCAACTAAGTCCTAATTTAAAAGCAAAACTATTGGAATCAAGAACTAGCCATTAATACTAAAAAAAACTTACGAAACAACTATTAACTGTATCATCTTTACCTTGAACACTCTTTTATTATGTTCATTAACAAATATCATATGTGTCGATCAACTAGCTCATAGTAGTCATCTTAATTAGTAGTTTTAAATTAGCTTTAAGTTTTCAGTTGCTTTATATACTTGGAGATAGAAGTTTGTTCTTCAGAATAGTTTTATCAAACTTAAGCATATTAATTTGTCTATTGTAAAATATACATGTAATCTTTATAAAAAAAATCATTAACATTTTTTTTTTGTGAACGACATCAACATTTTTAATTTTTTTTTTTAGAAACATCAACATTGAAACTCACATTTATTAATAAAATAAATTAATAAATAATAATAGTAATAGTAATAGTAATAAATATATTATTATCTTATATGAAATAGTTAAAGAGATGAGATTTTAAAATTAAAAAAACCATAAAGTAAACAATTAAATCAATATCTTTAATTTGATTTATTGTATCCAGGTTTAGCAGTTAAAATTTAAATCAAATTAATTAAAATTAGATATGAATTGTAGCATTTGAAAGAAAAAAAAAATGACATGAACACAATAACGAAACGAGTGACCTTAAAAAATTTAGAGTTAGAAATGGGTTTTTAATTTTCTTTATGAAAAGATATTGACGCCACACTAAAAAAAATTGAGAAGATGAGTGGTAAATCATGATCACTACAAGTTGTATTGATAAAATTATATTTAGTTATTTGTCCTAAAATAATGGAGAGATTATCACGATGAAAAATATTCTATTTGATTACTGTGCAAGTTTCCCTTAGTTGTTTACAAGAGATACATAGTTATGCAATTACTGAAGTACAAGTGAATTCGCATCAATATTTTCACAAATAATTGAATTATCA